GGAACTCTGCAAAAAACGCATCTTCGCACGGGCAGCCCGTGCGTTGGCCAATTTTTCGCATTGCATGGATGCAAAAAACGCATAATAAAAATGAATATAAGTAAGTTCTTGACTTTTGACTGACTGATTATTTACCGCAGCCCCACCAATTAACAATATTTTATATGTGTCTGTGGAAAAATCATGTCTCGCTTTATATCCATTTGACAGTAGCTCTTTTTGTTCATCAGAAAGCCAGTTTCTGCGGGTGATGCCGGAAGTGAACCCTGCTCGACTGATGGTGGTCTATCCACCGTGCGACGTGGATGCGATTAGTGCCGGTGGCATACCAGTCAGTCGTAAGAAGCGCCCGTATAATAAACAGTACACATTCCTGTCGATGAATCGCTTCTGGCCTGAGAAACGGCTGGATATCATCGTGGAAGCGGCCGGCAAGTATTTCATTTTTCTTTTCATCGGGTCTTTTCAGTAGTGCTGCAAGACATCTGTAACTCAAAAGTAAACCCTGACATCGGCTGATATGCCAGTCACTGGCCCGCCACAGCAAAAAACTCCAAAAGAACTCTTTTTGTTCATTTCAGGAAGATTTTGTCACTTCGCCAGACAGTTGATGTTTATAATAACAGCATCTTAGACGGTAAGTTAGAAAAGCTTTATGGCCCCTTCGAAAAGTATTAGTTAACAATTGCAGCAATACTAAAGCGACGCAGCAAAATGTGGCCACGTATATTGCTCGCTGGCTCGGTGATGCCGCACATACCCGAGTCACGCATTTATTATAACTTGCTACAAAAAATGGTTCGAGATCTGAAGGTATCAGAGTTTGGTACTTTCTATGAAAATAGCTGCGCGTAGCATTTTAATCCGTAAATCATAGTTTAATTATTCAGTTATTCCCCCGATGATCTTGACGCTCGTTTCTTCCGAAATTATTAAAAGAGTGGTAATGTCAGGTTCAGATGATGGTCTTTTCTGGTCAGCTCGAAATTTCTTCCATTAAAAAAAA